GCTATTTCACTTATTTCTGCTCTGATCTTTATTATTTTCTTCCATCTACTTATTTTGGGCTTTTTTGTTTTTCTTTTGCAAGTTCTTTTAATTATAAAGTTAGATGTTTATGAGCTTTTTCTTGTTTTTAAGATAGGCTTAAATCTATTATTTTCCCTCTAAGGATTGCTTTCCCAGTGTCCCGCAGATTTTGGGACACTGTTCTCATTTTCATTTGTTCTCATTTTCATTTGTGTTCTCATTTTCATTTGTTTCAAGGTATCTTTTGATTTTATCCTTGATCTCCTCGTTGGCCCATTCATTGTTTAATAACATGTTATGTAGCTTATATGTCTGTGTGTTTTTCAGTTGTTCTTGTGATTGATGTCTAGTTTCATAGAATTGTGGTCAACGAAGACAGTTGATACGGTTTTAATCTTCTAAATTTATTGAAACTCATTTTGTATCCTAAATGTGGTCTAACCTAGAAAACATTCCACGTGCACTTGAAATATGTATATTCTGCAGCTTTGGAGTGAAAAGCTCTGAAAATATCAATTAAATCCATTTGATCTAGTGTGATATTTAAGACTACTGTCTCCTTGTTGATTTTCTGTCTGGAAGACCTATCCATTGAAGTCAATGGTGTGTTAAAATCCCTGACTATGACTGCGTTTCTGTCAGTCTCTGCCTTTATGTCCATCAAGATTTGCTTTACATATTTAGGTGCTCCTATGTTCTGTGCTTAAATGTTTACTAGGATTATATCCTCATGTTGGATTGTTCCCTTTATCGTTATGTGGTATCCTTCTTTGTTTCTTACTGTAGCCTGTTTTTAAAGTCTATTTTGTTGGATATAAGCTTTTTTTTTTCCTTTCCATTTTCATGCAATATCTGTTTCCATCCCTTTACTTTTAGTCTGTGTGTATCTTTCAATCTGAAGTGCATCTCTTGGAGGCAGCCTATATATGGGTCTTATTTACTTATCCATTCAGCTACCCTACGTCTTTTGGTTGGAGAATTTAAGCCATTTACATTTAAGGTGATTATTGATAGATATGTATTCAGTTAGATTATTTTCCTCTTTTTTTTCTTTCTGTTTTTCTTCTTAAAGCCAGTCTTTTAACACTTGTTGCAGTACTGGTTTGGTATTAACAAACTCTTTTACCTTTTTCTTGCCTGGAAAGCTCCTTATTTCTCCTTCAATTTTAAATGATAGCATTGCTGGGTAAAGTAGACTTGGTTGTAGGTCCTTGTTTTTCATCACCTTAAATATTTCACACCCCTGTCTTCTGGCCTGAAGTGTTTCTGTTGATAATCAGATGACAATCTAATGGGTGCTCCCTTGTAGGTAACTACCTGCCTTTCTCTTTCAGTTCTTAGTATTCTCTCCTTGTCTTTAAACCTTACCATTTTAATTATGATGTGTTTTGGTGTAGGCCTCTTTGGGTCCAACTTGTTTGGGACTCTCTGAGCTTCCTGGATTTGTGTGCCTTTTTCCTTCACCAGATTAGGAAAGTTTTCTTCAAATAGACTCTCCATCCCTTGTTTACTCTCTTCTCCTTCTGGTGTTCCCATGATGCAGATATTGTTATGCTTCATGTTGCCCAAAATGTTCCTTAAGTGATCCTCATTTTTAAAATCCTTTCCTTTTCCCCCTGCTCTCTTGGTTTTGTTTTCCTACCTCGTCTTTCAAATCACTGATTCAATCCTTTGCTTCATCTAACTTACTGTTTATTCCTTCCAGTGTATTATTTATTTCGTATATTACATAATTTATTTCTGACTAGTCTTTTTTTATGGTTCCTATGTCTTTTTTCATGATGTTGAGTATGCTTATAATCATTACTATAAACTCTTTATCTAATGAATTGCTTGCCACCATTTCATCTAGTTGTTCTGCTAATTGATTCTCTTGTTCTCTCACTTGGGGTCTGTTCTCTGTTTCCCATTTTGGATGCTTCTTTGTTTCTATGTATTAGGTAAATCTGTAAAGACTTTGGTGCAAACTTTTGTCAGATACTGCTTGTGATTGGCTCTGGGCCACCTAGTTGGAGCTATCAGCAATCCACAGCATGTGGCTCCCTCTGCTGGGCCTGTTTGTGTGCAGAAACAACCAGACTGAACACTAAGGCCAGCTTTTACAAGCAGCAGGCCCAGTGGGGAGTCAGCTAAAGTCTCAGAGCTCCCAGAGACCCACCTTAGTTGTTAAACTTAATCAATGTTATAGCTTAAAGCTGTAATCAGCAGCCTGGCTTAAGCTATATAGGGTGGGGCAGTATAATTCCTGTAGGCAGGATGATTGCATCCCCACAGGCTGACACCACTTGAGGAGGATTGCTCTGCCTGAGAAATATAGCCTCTGCAGAATGGGGAATGACTCAGCACAGGGATCCTGGTGGCTGTTCCCTCAGTTCTCTCCCCAGAGCCACCAACCCCAGACTCTCCTTGTACATCTCTAGTCCACTCTTCCCTCCCTCTGCCGGAGCCCAGGGTAAGTGGCTGCAAATGATATGTTGTGCATTGGCCCTTTAATAGACTCTCTGCATCTCCAACCATCACTGTTTGGCAGACAGAAAGCCCACTGCTTTTCACCGTTGGATGTTATCTGGGTTCCGTTCCTGGCTCCGGTGCTATAGGCTGGGGAGCCCAGCTTAGGGTTTAGACCCCACACTTCTCAGGGAGAACCCCCTGGCCACTGAATTAACCCTCTGGAACTTCAGCTCCCACCCATGGGAGCCCAGCCAGCCATCTCTCGTCTCTGCAGTCCCTACCAGTCATGTTGTGGTGAAGTGGTTTCTTCTGTCTATCCCTGGTTATACAGCTTCTCTCCAGCTAGCGTTCAGTTGGTTTTTCAGGATGATTTCTCTACAATTTAGCTATAATTTCAGATTGGTCCTAGAAGGAGGTTAATGTAGCTTCCACTTACTCCTCCACCATCCTAGGTCTCTCCCTGGAGTTTGTTTTGGTATATCATATGGGATAAACTTTATTTTCCCCCTAAATGATGAGCCAGTTGTACCAACCCCAGTTATCAAATAATAGAGCTTTCCTTACTAATCTGTCACCTTTATATTTATTATATACTTAGATATGTCTGAACTTTCCATTCTGTTCCACAAATTCTCTTATCTTTTTTGTAAAAGAATAGATACTGCTTCACAAGTTTAAAATATTACAATTTTAAGATATGCTTATTATCTGATATTGAAAGCACTCTTTTTTCATTACTGCCCTTTTTCAAAATGGTCTCTCAGGCCCTAATTAATCCAGATGAAATTAAAACCCTGAGTTTAAGTATTCAATAGGAACATTTATTGAAATATTATCATATTTATATGTTAATCTGAGAAGAATTTCCATCTTTATAAGCATTCAGTCATCCCTGAGGAACGTGCTATGCTGCTCCACATGTTCTGGTTTTCTTCTTTGTGCCTCAGTAAATTTTTACAGTTTTTAAATATGGGTTCTGCATGTTTTGTGTATGTGTTTATCCAGAGATCATGATATTTCTGTTACCATTACATAGAATCTGTCTTTTCACTATATTTTCTAATTAGTGGCTCCTATTCATAGCATTATATTTATTAATGTTATAAAAAGCTATTTTATAATAATGAATTACAATAGTATTTTAGTTTTTTCCCCTCTTCGGTATTCCAAGACAATTAGGATATTTGTAAATACTAATAATTTTATCTTCACTTTTCTGATTTTATACATCATTTATTTTTCCTATATTCCTTATTCAGAATGATTGTAATGACTAATAATTTCAAGTAATTCTTTACATCATTACATTTTAGTTACATACTGTTACATGTTACTGTCATAGAATTAATAGTAGATTTTAATACAGTAATTTCTGATGAACTGTTCTTGCAATTTTGGAATAAACTTTATTTAACTATGATGTTATTCTTTTAACATTTTATTCAGTATTTTATTTGAAATATTTATGTTTATTATTGTTAAATTCAGTTCTCTTTAACACTTTATCTTTGCCAAGTTATGATATTACAGTTGGGTTATTCTAGTGTTATAAAATTGGAAGACTTCCATCTTTTTCTATGCTTTGGAACAATTTAATTGGGATAATCATTCCTGTTGCTGAATAAGTGGATTTAGCTCACCTGTGTCATCTAACTCATATTACCTGTATCATCACCAGCCATAGCAGTTTTTAAAGCCCTCTCTTTCACTTAGTATTCAGAATTTGCATTAAAATTCCAAAGTTCACTCCACAGTTTTGAGATTCAGACAATAAAAAGCAAATTCATGCGCTGGCTGGTGTGCGGTGGATTGAGCTCTGGCCTGTGAACCAAAAGGTTGGTGATTCGATTCCTCATCAGGACACAGGCCTGGGTTATGGGCCAGGTCCCCAGTTGGGCACATGGGAGAGGCAACCATGTATCTCTCACACACTGATATTTCTCTCTCTCTCTTTCTCCCTCCCTTCCCCCCTCTCTAAAAAAGTTAATAAATAAAATCTTTTTTAAAAAGACTATTCTTTTTTCTAACAAAAAAAAGCTAATTCATCTGTTTTCTTAGAATAAAGCAAATAAACAAAGATGAACACTAAATCTCAAATGCTATATTTTCATCATTTCTTTGGATTCCATTAGCTCTTGGCAAAGATTGTTTATGCTTACATAAAGTATATTGATTCCCATATTGTGTTCAAAAACTGACTCATTACTCTTCAGAGACTACAGAAGTTTCCATCCTCAATTTCCTAGGGAAGAACTGAAGTAAAAATGTAGACTAGGAAATAAGATGAAGGTTAACTGTGTCATTAGTTTTCCTTGAGCACACCTGGACATATGCAACTATACTCAAGTGCTTAAGAGATGACAAAAACATCTCATCAAACTTTTCCTATGAGGCAGGGGACCTACCTTGTTTGTGATGGTTTCTTCTCACAGACAGAGTAATGCCATGTAGATTCCAGTATAGCCCAGTAGTCTCCAGCCTACTTAGTTACCGTAACAACAGTAACAGCATTTGTTTTCTTTATCTAGGACGTGTGCGCTAAGGCTTACCTAGCCCTTCGTCATCACACAAACCTACTGATCATCCTGTTTTCCATGATGCTGATGACAGGAATGCCCCAGTTAACAAGCAAAGAAGACATTGAATATATTCGGGATGCTTTAACAGTGGGGAAAAATGAAGAGGATGCTAAAAAGTATTTTCTTGATCAGATTGAAGTTTGTAGAGACAAAGGATGGACTGTGCAGTTTAATTGGTTCCTACATCTTGTTCTTGGCATCAAGCAAGGAGAGAAACATTCAGCCTAATATGTTGGGCTAGAATTAAAAACAAGTTAGTGTTCCAAAGCTTTGAATCAGCATGTCAATTATAGGCCTTAGATTTACATTGTAATAGGACATTATGAAAGCTGACACTTGAGAAATATATCCCTTTTCCTAGCTGAACTCTTCACTGGAGAAAATTATTGGCACAGCTGACTGTTTAAGTAATGTTCAATTCTAGGCCTATTTGCAGGTTTGTTTCTTTCTCATTTGTCTCAGTAGTTTTGCAGAATATTCTAAGTTTAAACAGACTAATCACTTCCTCCTTGTGCCTGATGTTTTGACTGTAGTCTTATTGAGTGCTTCTGGAAATTCTTTAGAATAATTGGTGACATCTGTTTTCATCTGTGTTTACTCTCAATTTTGGTTATCCTTGTGTTCCTCAAGCTCTTTACAGAAAAAGATGTAATCATTGTAATCTTTGTCTCATACCTTAAACAATATTTTCAAACATCCCCTCTGTGTCTGCAGATGTCAGTGATGTGCTAAAAGCAAGAAAAGTGAGTTCGTCTTTTCAGTGCCTTTTGCAATTAGGTTTTTATACAGTGTACAACTGAGATAAACGAACACAAAATGGAAAATCTGAACCTTTGTGCCTTGGCCATTCTCTGCTGGTCTGGTTCCAAGATTATGAATAGGAAAAATAGAGATGAGACCATTTCTCCCCACTCTGTCCACAGAGTGAATTATTAGGCACAACTGTTACAGCTTTTTCCAGCATAGAAACAGGAAGTAACTAAAAGGACTCATTTTTTTGGCCTTTATATTTTCTCCCTCCCTCCCTCCCTGCCTCTTTTCTTCCTTATGCCACAACTCTTTACCCAGAGTTGTGAAATCTTCAAGAACCCCAATACCTTAGATTCAAAAATTAGTTGAAAAAGAATTATGGGTTAGTTTCCAAGTGTGTTAACTTTAAGTTTTTGTCTAAGAAGCATTTTCTTTCTTTTTTAATGGAAGGAGATATTTGCCATCTAAAAAATAGTCAAGTTAGGACGGACACTACTTGCCCTATCCGTCTCTCAGTTTAAAGAATGTTTAAACTTTGACACATTCTTCAGATTTTCTAAAAATAATTGAAATGTTTTTTTAAAAACTATTTTCATCTATTATATATTTTGCTATTTATTAGGAGTGTTGTTTAACCTTTGAGAAAGATCATTAAGTTATTTATAAAATATTTTTAAATTACCTACAGTTAATACTTTACAAAGGAATAACTCTGTTAGCAGTGTCTATGTTTTTTTAATATAAATATATATTAAATATAAAATTTTTGCTAAGTAGATACCTGGTCTGGTTTAGCCCAAACCTTACTTTTCTCTATACAAAAGTGCAGTGCTTCTTAACCCTGGCTGCAAATATGAATCACCAGGACCCATTTTAACATACCCTGCCTGAGCACCAACCTCAGGTTATAATTTGTTTGGGATGAGGCCCACACATCAGTGTTTTTCTAAGTACATGGGGTGACTCTAATATACAGTGTTGGAAAGCCCTGCACGGCCTTTGAGAGTGTAGATAGCACTGTTTCCTTGCTCACAGAACTTTTCCCCTGGCTCATAAGGTAGCTAAAAACAACTATTTCTTGCCAATTCTCCTTTTAAAATTATGTTCTATCCCCCTGTACAGAGGACCATGCCCTGTAATGAAATATATATTCCTCTGTGGTAATGAATGTTAGATATTTTATGGCGTTTTTAGAGCAAAAATTCCCTACCATTCTTTTGAGGAAGAGCAGGAAGAATGATGATTTCTAAATCAGAAGAGGATGTTTCCATTGTTCGTATTAAAAATAGGCAAGCTTGCACAGATTCTACTTTTTATTTCAATTGCTGAACTAATCACCTTAATCATTGAAGAGTTACAGAGCAATGTATTTATATTTAGCTTAATGGTGCATGTGCACACATATTTGCTCTTCAAATGAGCTTTATTCTTCCATATTCCAATGAAGGCATAATTTTAACTCTACAGACTTGCAGATAAAGAAAAATTACCTTTGTGTGCTTCCTTCATTGTTCCCAGTGAATCACATGACCCACACCTTTTATATCTTTGAAAATGTTCTAGAACTAGGGTCATCTTGCTACTAAGGGGAGATGTTGGGAAACTACCCACAACTATAGAGTTGCCAAATAAAACAGAAACCACAAATCAGATGACTGAGGTCAAAGCAGCCTCTGTGTATACCTAACCCTGGCTACATAATTTTCAGAGCCCAGTAAAAAATGTAAATGCCAGGCCTGTCATTCAAAAATTATTAAGAAATTCAAAATAGCAAAGGAGAACTTCAACCAAGCACAGGGCCCTTCTGAGCATGGGTCACTGCACAGGTCACAAGCCCAGGAAGCTGGCTCTGTGTGTATATAGATAATGGCTTTGGTGCTCAGTTTTACATTTAGACCATGTCTGTATGAGTGCAGATAAAGTGCCCAGATCAAAACGTGCTTCTGTTCAAACTGAAATACCTCATTTCTGTGGCTGTGTATCAGGACCTAAAACACCAGCCAGTAAAAGTGAAGCCAAGCAGATATTTTAGACCTTGGCCCATACGACTGCACTTGTCTGGCTCTGGTGACACTCTGGTGAAAGCAGAGCAAATGGAAACATTTAAAGATAAAATGTATCAACTCCTAGAGAAAGTTCTTGAATTTAAAAAAATAACTTTATCGAATATATCTTTTACAGGAGATGAATTCTTTTTTTTGAAAAGGTTAGATATAGGAATTCTGCAGCATAATTCAGAGGCCGTTAGTCCTATATAATTGTAAATTATTTTTTGAAATGATTAAGAAAATAATTTAGAAATAAGTTTCTGGAGCAAATTCTGACCTTTATTTGGTAAGCTAGGCTCTATTTAACTATGAATAAAAGTGTCAATTGTACTCTACAGTATGAATAAGAAATAAAACAAATGTATATTGTTAAAGGTTCTACTGTCTTATTTTCTACTTAATCCAATCTAACAATTCTAGCCAATAAATTTGGTTCTAGTCTGGGAGAAGACCTGTACATTCTTACACAGGTGCTGGGGAACCGAAAGCACACACCTTGGCTAAAGCACCCATGCAGAAAGCAAAGACAGTTCCTCTTCTGGAAAGTCTAGTTCTCCCCACTTGCATTTTTATATTAATTAGAAATTGTTAAATATAAATTTAAATAAAAGAAAGAATCTGCTATCTTGTGTTCTCTAGTATATACCTTTTAATGTCTGAAAGGCCATATACTCCTGAAACTCAAATCCTTTCTTTTAAGAAAACTTTGTTGAGGGTCCACTACCTATCAAACACTGGTCAAAGTACTGCACATTGGGCCACAGAACAAGGCTGACCTGGTCCCAGTCATTAAAAAGTATAGGTTGTTTGTGATAAGAAACACTTTATAATGGGGGCTATTGTGGGTTGAATTGTGTCCCCCAAAAGATACATTGAAATTGTAACACATAGTATCTGTGAATGTAATTTTATTTAGAAATAGGTTCTAGAGATTTACAGATATGCCTCATTTTATTGTGCTTCACAGATGTTGCATATCTTACAAATAGAAAGCAAGACCTCCACCAGCAAAAATATTAGACTCACTTTACCGAGATACTCGATGTATAGCAGTGGTCTGGAACCAGACCTGCAGTATCTCTGAGGTCCGCTTGTAATTAAGATGAAGTCCTAATCCAAAGTGACTGGTATACTTAACAGAAGATGAAAGAGAATGCCATATGATAGAGGCAGAAATATAATGATGCATCTAGAAGTCAAGGTACACCTAGGGCTACCAGAGGCTGGAACAGGAAAGGAAGGATCTTCACTAGAAATTCCAAGAGAACAAAGCCCAGCCTACACTTGATTTCACACTTCTAACCTCCAGAACTGGGAGAGAACAAATTTATTTTTATGGTTGTAAGCCACGTGGTTTATGATAAAATGTTATGGCATTCCTAGGAAACTAACACAGTGTGAATAACCAAAAGTCCTATAGGGGATTTTTTGTGGGGTGTTGGGAGAATCACACAGTTTTATTTTAAGTAAACCTAATGGATATTTTCTACTGTTACCAAAAGGATTTAATTGCCTATGTGACAAAGTGCTAATATTCTTACTGTATTAAAAACTGTAATAATTCATTGGGGCAAAACGGTGGAGGAGTGAATGGAAGTCACACTGACCTACTCCCAGAACCAATCTGGAATTACAACTAAATTGTGGAGAAATCAGCTGGAACAAACAACTGAACAATAGCGAGAGAGGAGCGTCATAACCTTGGAGAGGCAGAAGAATCAGCTTTAGTACAACCTGACTGGTAAGGAATGTGGTAGAGACTCAAGAAGGTGGGCTAGGCACCCATGGGTGGCAGCACCCAGATATTTGAACGGCCAGTTGGATCCTCCTGAGAAGAGTGGGGTCTTAACCATAAGCAGGGATCTCCAACCTATAGCACCAGAGGCCAAAAAGTACACACATGACAGCCAGCGAAAAACAGTAGGGTTGCTCTCTACCAGAGATGGGTGGCAGGAGATGCAAAGAGCCATTTAAAGGGCCAATGCATAAATTTTTATTTGCAGACACTTACCCTGGGCTCCAGCAAAGGCAGGGGCAAGTGAGCTACAGACGCCTGAGGAGAGTCTGGGGAAGGAGTCTTTGGGGAGAAGCCTGATGAAATAACCAGCGGGATCCCGATGCTGACTTACCTCCCATACGGCAGCAGCCATCTTGCTCGGGCAGACCACTCCCCTGAGCGGCAGCAGCGTAAGAGGACCAAATAACCCCACGCCGAGGAGGGACTCCACCCCGCTCTGTGATGTCTAAGCCTGACTACTGAGTACAGAGTGACTAGATTAACAACTGAAGGAGACGGTCATAGACAGTAGATTCCTGGAAGTCTCAAACAGACTGCCTAAGGTCAGACAGGGTCAACATCTGACATCATCAGAGGGAGAGCCAGAAAGAAAAAAACAGCTGTAAACATTAGAGGCTACCGAGATGAAATTCACTGTGGTCTTCTCCATGATTCAGGATATTTTCGTTACTACATAGCTTTTTAACATTCATTTGGGGCCATCAAGTATGTGCATATTAAATCATTAGATTTTATACTAATAGCTTATTTATTTCCTTTCTTATAATAGTTTTAATCTCTTTACAGCCTTATTAATACTGGTTTGTTTGCTGTTGATAGTGGGATTGCAGGGGGGAGTTATTTTTGCAGATGTGGGTTTTTTTCCTGGGCTTTGTGATTTTGCTCTGGCAGCACCTGCACAAAAATACAAAAGATGTGGTGGGCAGAGTGACCCTCAGTCAACCAGCTGGAGGGTAGGACCCACCAAAGAACAAACAAACAACAATCAAAACCCAATTACTTCCAGAGAGTAAACATAAATAGCATAAAAAGTATCCAAAGAGTAGCAAGTTTAGGAGATCAAGAAGACTG